TGGCTCAAAAACCACTTGAGCAAAAAAGCTCAGGGATAGTATCTGAGCCCTGAGTTCAAGCCCAGGACCAGAAACACACACACACACACACACACACACACACACACACACACACACACACACACACACACACACACACACACACACACACACACACACACACACACACACACACACACACACACACACACACACACACACACACACACACACACACACACACACACACACTAGCAAAAAGGACTGGAGAATCCCAATACAGCAAACAAACAAACCCAAACCCAAGACCCCGCTTCCAATACAGGAAGAGCTGCAGAGATCATGAGACATCCCCAAAGTCCTGCTCCACAGCAATGCTGCTTAGTTTTGTCACTTCAACCTGTTCTTCAAAAACAGATTCTTTTTTTTTCTTGGGGGGGGGGGGGGTCGTGGGGCTTAAACTCTGGGCCTGGGCACTGTCCCTCAGCTCTTCAGCTCAAGGTGAGTGCTCTATCGCTTGAGCCACAGCACCACTTCCCATTTTCTAGTGGTTTATTGAAGATAGAGTCTCACGGACTTTTCTGCCTGGGCTGGCTTTGAACGGCAATCCTCAGATCTCAGCCTCCTGAGCAGCTAGGATTACAGGCATGAGCCACCAGCGCCCAGCCAAATATAGATTCTTTCTAAGAAACATTATGTGAGCCGAAGTGTGGGGGGATGACAGGAAAAGAACCTGCTCTTCACAAGACATCACGGGTCTGGCACTCATGCTTGGGTTCTTCCCACTGAAGGCTGGTGCTCTACCACTTGAGCCACATATCTACTTCCAACGCTTTGCTAATTGGAGTTAAGAGTCTAACAGACTTTTCTGCCCTGACTGGTTTTGAACCACGATTCTCAGAGCTCAGCCTCCAAGTACCTAGGATTACAAACATGAGCCACCAATGCCTGGCTTGAGGTATGGCTTTTTAAAGCACTCACTTGCTTTGCAAGCAGTTTTGAGTGTTATTGTTTTAAGTATCAAGATGGAAAAAATCATGTGACTTTCCCAAAGTCAGGTGACATTGGAATGACAGGTTCCCATTGAGCACTCTCAAGACTGAGGCTGGGGGATCAAGGTTCATAGCCAGCCCCCTCCACCACAATAGAACTGTGTCCTGCCTGCCAAAGCTAGCCCTAAATCAAACTTTTCCTAGAACTGAGCAAGCCAAAATGGAAAAGCCGTTCCCCATTCTTTCCTCAGCAATCAAAAGGAGAAAATGTCCTTTGAGCAGACAGCAATTTAACAGTAAGTGTCCAGAAAACCATCAACTATCCTCCACTGGGTACCAACCAGCACCTCTCCAAAACCAGTTCACTTTAACAATTCCAGGACAACCTTGACCATGACGGACTTACCAAAGTCAGCTCTTCAGATATGATGTGATAAACACTGCGCTGGTTATCTTTTCAAAGACCTAGTCAGACTGGAATATAGGGAGCACTTTGAGCTCTTAGATGTCTTAAGTTAGAAAGTTATAAATGAGTTCAAAGTTTTCCTCAGAGCTCTGAATGGAAGAGAGAGGTTTGAACACTGTGGGGTCAAGAAGGGGATGAGCCCGGGCTACAGAGGGCAGAGAGGAACGCAGGAACGCAGGAACGCAGGACAAGCCTTATCACTTTGTTCAGCCTTTTTCCACACCACCTCCCATCCTCTCCACCCCGCCACTTCCCATCCCTTCTCTATCTTGAAATGCCACTTCTGAATTAATAACAAAATATAACATCCAATGTAGCCATATTTTTTAAAATATTAACAGGATTAGGGAGAAAATGTTACAGTAGCTAAGAGGACTTTGTAGACACACAGTCATGTTTAGGAATGTTTCCTATAGTCCAATTTTTAGGTCTCCTTTCACAAATGACCCCCAAATCCAAGAAAATTGTCCTTTGCTCTTCATTTATGAATCACCAGTATTAAGAACGAGCAGCAGAGCTGGACTTCTGAATGCAATCCTAGCTACTCAGGAGGCAAAGTTCCAGAGCATTGTGGTTTGAAACTAGTCTGGGAAGAAAGACCATAACCGGGGCGCTGGTGGCTCACATTTGTAATCCTAACTACTCAGGGAGCTAAGATCTGAGGATTGAGGTTCAAAGCCAGCCCCGACAGCAAAGTCTGTGAGACTCTAATCTCTAAATAGCTACAAGAAAAAGTCCCATGACCAACAAAAGGAAGGAAGGAAGGAAGGGAGGGAGGGAGGGAGGGAGGGAGGGAGGAAAAAAAGGAGAGAGAGAGAGAGAAAGGAAAGGAGAGGAGAGGGGAGGGGAAGAGAGGGGAGGGGAAGCAAGCAGGCAGGCAGGCAGGCCACCTAGCAGTACATCTCAAAAATAATAATCTAATTGGTCAAGTTGAAGTTTTGTCTAGGTCACATTTGAACTTTTAAAAAGAAACATGATTATATTGTCTCACTAAGTCTATCCATTTCTGAACAGAATGTGATAATATACTTGGCTTTGATGGTCTCCTTGGCCCTTGAGTATGTAGTTACAAAGCAAATCAAAAGCAAGAAGTGGAAAAAGTTAAATCTGGAAGTAAAGTCTGCCACTTCCCATTTGCCAGAAAACAGACTTGTCATTATCTGGAAATGGAAACTGAGCTACAGTTGAAACACAACTGTTTTTGACCTACAAAGATGAATTTCATATGGTTAGACTAATGTTATTTTCTAAGTTCATCATCTAAATAGTTGTCTCAAATAAGATCTTCTTAGTCCAAGACACATAAAATCTGTTCTTCTCTGAGTTGCCTTAACTTTTGGAAAAGATTTGCCACCCCACCATCCAAAGCTACAAATATTTGAAAATTTAAACTCATTAACAAGAAAAGCAAGATGCCAGATAGCTAAACGGCTATGTTGTGTGAACCCTAAGACTTTACATTCACCACCGCTTTCACCATTCCTGTGTGAGTGTGTGTGTGGCAGCACTAGAGCTCAAATGCAGAACCTTGCACACTATAGGCAAGTGCTCTACCACAGAACCACTTGGGCAACCCCCCAAACAGGATTTGAGTACTCAACAGACCTGATCTTTTGAACACATTTAAGGAGACACTGACGAAAACTGAAGGCACAGGAGGCTGAGATCTGAGGATCCTGGCTCAAAACCAGCCAGGCAGAAAAGTCCATGAGACTCTTACCTTCAATTAACAAGTAAAAAGCCAGAAGTGATGATGTGGCTCAAGTGGTAGAAGAGAGTAAGAGCCTTGAGTGAAAAAGCCAAGGGAAAGCTCGAGGCCCTTAGCCCCTATGGGGGAAAAAAACCAACAACGATAAAACTGAAATCTTTACATCTTTCAGTGACCCAGGGTGATTCTAACCTAAATATGGTAGTACCCTAGCATTGTGTACACGGGCTTCACTGTTCTACCACTGAGGAATTGTAATTAAGCTGGCAAATTTCATTTCTGTTGGCCAATGGGACTTCTAACTGTTCTAATCAAAAGGGTAATTATCTTATTCATAACATTTTTTTCCATTTAGATATAGCCGATTTATGAACAGACCAGGGAAACTTGTCTCTTCTACAAATGCAGAGAAAAGGGGTTACAGCTCTCTAAGATGCTTCTGGGTCCAAACCCATCAAGTCACACCCACTTTTATGAGACTCTTAATATCCAAGATACTAATGAGTTCTTTTCTCAATTAACTCCAATAATTAGTTCTCTATTCTTGTTCTGCCAGAATTCCTAGCCTTTTATCCTTCTACGCTCTAGGAATGAAATCCAGAAAACCACATTCTGTAGCTCCCTAGAGGGAGGGTCCCAAAGACAGCTGGGGCAATCTGATGTTTCCTGTTTCATCTTCCCAGATCCAACTTGCAGTACCAATATCCACGTTAACCATCAAGTGAAGCGACCCAAGCAATCAAGACAGCATCCCCTGCTCTGACTGGTTAACAGAGGCTGGCACTGGTTACCAGGCATCCACAAGAGGCCATTTCCCTATGGCTCACCGTCCTTTTGCATACATCCAAATCAACTAGGCTTCACAGTGGAGTGGACCATCCTTCTCAACCGCTCCCTACCCCCCACAGCATTCTAAGTCCATTATTCACCCTTAGCTGAAGTTTTATCAAGAGATGCGTGGTCATACCAAGTCCAGAATGTGTATTCCTTCCATCCCCCACCACCCCCTTTCCTGGGAGGTACACACAACAGCTGATGCTAATTCTTCATTTATTTATGAAACTGTGCATCCACCATAGCGACGTGCTTTCCATGTGCAGACACTCGCTTTCATTCTTTAAAACCCTGAAGCACTGAGACTGGTACCCACCCCCCTCCAGCCCCCAAGTCACAGCGGACAGAAGCCGAGGCTTAGCAACCCGCCCAAGGTCATACAGGACGGGGACTGGAACCCAAGTCTGACCTCAATGACCTCCGCCCTTGACACCCACCCCCCACCGCCGTCTTCCTCGGGATCCTGACCGTCTGGGGGGGCGGGGGGCTCACTTTATCCCAGGCCGCCTTCCCTTTAAGGGACAGGCCCCTGAGACACGCTCTCCATCCAGGTCCATCTTCCCCGCACCTCCACCTTCCCCGCCACCCCGCCCTAGGAAAAGCCCGGCACCATTTCCCGCAGGCCCCGGGCCCGGGCCTCCCCCGGGCCCGTCGGAACTTCCCCGCGCGGCCGGGGCAGGTGCCCGGGACCCAGGGGAGCCGCCTCCGCGTCCCCGCTGGCTGGGGAGGGCGGGCCGGGCCCCCGACCCGGGAGGAGGCCGGGCCGGGAGGGGCCGGGGGTCGGCGAGGGTGCGCCCGGGGGCCGCGGGGCGCCGGGAAACGGCGGAGTCACGCCGGCGCGGGCGGGATGCAGGGAGAAGGATGGACGGAAGGACAGCCGGGCAGAGGGAGGATGCGGGGCCCGGGCGCCCGGCGGGGAGGCGGCTCCCGCTCCCCTCCCCGAGCCGGGCGCAGGGGCGGGAAGCCGGGCCCGGCGGGGGGCTCGGGGTCGGCGGGCCCGCGCGGCCGCCCGCGGTCTTACCTATGCCGGGCGCCACATAGACGAAGTAGAGCAGCGAGGACGACAGCGAGAAGAAGAAGAGCGCGGCCAGCAGCGAGCGGCGCGGCAGCCGCCGCAGCCCCCGGCGGGCGCGCATGCTGCGGCCGGGCGGCCGCCCCGAGGGCCGGGCCGGGCCTGCTCCCGCCGCTCCGCCGCTCGCGTCCGCCCGCCTGGGCCTCGGCCGCCGCCTCCCGGGCCCCGCCGCGCGCCGCGCGCCGCCGCCGCCGCCTCCCGGGCCCCGCGCCCCGCCGCGCGCCGCCGCCGCCGCCGCCGCCGCCGCCCCGCCGCTCCCAGCCGCCGGCCGAGCCACATGAGGCGGGCGGGGGCCGGCGGCCGCGCGGCGCAGCGAGGGGGCGGGGCGCGGGGCGGGGCCTGCGCCCCGGGCACCGTCGCTAAAGACTCGCGCGCGCGCGCGCGGACCGCTAGGCCCCCAGCCTGCGCCGCAGGGCCCCCCGCGGCGGCGCGGCGGCCCGCGGGCGCCGGCGGCCAATGGCGACGGCCCCTAGCCCGGCGCGGCCACCGCCCAGGCGAGCGGGGAGCGCCCGTGAGGTCCGGGCGGCCGGGGAGGGCGGGGCAGGTCCGGCGGGTCTCGTAGCCCACTGCAGCGGAAGGACCGGGGCCGACCGGCGGGGCTGGGGAGCTGGGCCCGCGCCGCGCCGCGTTCACTCCGCGGGTCATTCATTCATTCCTGCCTCGTTCACTCCGCGGGTCATTCATTCATTCCTGCCCTCCGCCGTCCCGGCCGCGCAGGTGGCCGGCCTTCGGGACTCCTGTGGAGGAGAACACGCACCCCACGTGCGGTGGGTGCGAGCCCCGCGGGCGGGAGGCCGCTCCCGGACTCAGCGGGCCTCCGAGCGGGCCACAGCGGCCTGGCCGCGTCCCCGGTGTGAGTCCGGGAGCCCGGGCCCGGGGAGGCCGGGGCGCTGGGCTGAGTCCGGGAGGGTCCCCGGCGGTCCCGAGCCCGGTGATGGCATTCCCGAGGGACGGATGGGGAGCCGCGAGTCCGCCGAGCCTCCGGGTTCAGCCCCAGCCCGTCCCCAGGGCAGGCCCTGGACCACCGAGTCCTGCGCCCGGGAACACCGAGCCGGGGGCCTTTCCCCTAGGGTTCGTGGGATTCCTCCCAAACCTCAGCGAGTTGGGGCTGGGGGCTAACTGGATGGTAGAACACCTGCTTAGCAGGTTCTATCCCCAGCACTGAGAAGAGAGGGAGAGATGAACGGAGAAAGAGGAAAGAAGAAATGGAGGGAGAGACTAGAGGAAGGGAGGGCAAGCAAGCTGGGCAGCGGTGGTTCACATTAATCCCAGCTACTCGGGGCTGAGGCCGTCAGCACCTGACAGCATCAGCATCCTCCCTTTCTTGTGTTTCCTTTTCCCATTTTTTTTCTTTTTGTCTGTTTTCTCTCTGTCCGTGTGTGTGTGTGTGTGTGTGTGTATGTGTACTGGGGCACTGTCCAGCACTCAAGGCTAGTGTTCTGCCTCTCGGGACACAGCTCTCTACTTCTGATTTTTGATGGTTAATTGGAGATCAAAGTTTCACAGACTTTCCTGCCCAAAGGGGGGGGGGGGGCTTTTAACCTATGATCCTCAGATCTGAGTGGTTAGGATCACTGACAGGCCTAAGCCACCAGCACCCGGCTCCTCCCTCCTTTTATTCCTTCCCAAATAAGATTGCTTGCCCCACCATTCATTTATTCACTGGGCCATTCAGTCCTTCAGATGCGGTGAATCAAAACACTGCATTGTGACCTGACTCAGTGTTTTCCTTCCCCCATATCCTTTCCTCTGAAGCAGCTTCCTTTTCCTCTCCTTCCCCACATCCTCCCCCAGCTGTATTATTCTAGCAGCTCTGACATTCTCCAACATTCCATGATATAGACAGTATTAATTTGTTCTTTTTTTTTAATCCCCCAGGTCAGATTGTCACCTCCACTAGGGCAGAAATCGGCTGCCTTTTCTGCTGTGTTGTTGCCCAGGGGCCAGTTGGTGTACAATCAGGGTTGAAGGCCGGCTGGAAAGGCAGCTAGTACACTGAGCATGCTGGCAGGGACAGGAGCAGAGGTGGCTGAGTGCGGCCTTCCTGCCTCCAGGAAGGCGAGGAACTGGAGACTTGTGACAGGGTGGGTCTCAGGATGGCTGCAACAGGAAAGACGGAATGCTAGTAGTGCTTTGAAGAGCTGTAGACCCAGGTCTGCTGGAGCAGTGGTAGGTCAACAGCAGCTGAACTGTGCAAGGAAAAGAACGGTGGCTCACACCTAGCTTCTAACCCTAGGCTGAAATCCGAGGATCATGACTCAAAGCCAGCTGGGCCAGACTATAAGATTATTGTCTCCAATTAACCAGCAAAAAGCCAGAAATAGAGGTGTGACTCAAGTGGTAGAGCACCAGCCTTTAGTGGGAAAAAAAAAACACAAGGGAGAACATGAGTCCCTAAGTTCAAGCCCCAGTACCCCCCCACACACACATACACACACGACTGAAATTAGACAGGCCCATCCTTAGTGGGGCTGTAGAGTCAAAGAGATCTGGAAAGGTGCCAGGGTGCTCACAGGGCTCCTCCCCCTCGAGTTGCCATTGAAATAAGAAGATTGCCTCTGAGCCACGTGTCTCGTCCTCACAGCCATCTTGGGGCCTTGGCTGGGTGGAGGGGGCTTTCCACCCAGCTCTGAAAAGCCAAGAGATGAGAGAGGCCATGTGTTGAATTGCTGATGTCATTCTGTTTAGCCCTAGGAAAGCTTTGCTGCAGAGAATGCTCTGATTCTGCCTTGATTCTCTCCCTAAACAGTTTGATTCCCTCTGAGTAACCCCCTGATATGGAAAGTTTGAGGCGCATCCCCTAAATGGAAAGCTTAAGCTGACCGCAGAGCTACGTCCTTAGATGGAAAATTCTGCTTGCACCTGAGTGCAGACCATATAAGGTCTGCTTTCGTTAAGGCTTAGTCTCTACCCCAAGCATGTGGTGAAGTAAGGTCAGGTCTGGCGGGCACCATATTGGATGGTAAGGTCTGGCATCTTGTCTTCATGCTGTGGGAAGGAACCCCCCTCCCCCATCACCTGCCTCCCAGATAGTGGGCATGCCCAGACCTCCAGAGGCAGGGGCAGGCACTTGGCTGATAGGTTACTGAATCTGTCAGTCCAGTGCCTGGGACTGGGAATTTCCTGAGGATCTTCCCCCTGCACCAACCTATTTAGGCCTTGCTAGCCTTGAACACACCACACCACACGTGTCTCTGGGATTGTGTCCTGTCTCCTGGCTTGTCTCCAGTCATCCTGGCATCCCAATTCAGCTCTCCATTGGAGCTGAATTGGCTTGTTGGTATTGTTCTTGTTATTTCTTTCCTCTTTAGCATGTTTCCTAGCTGTGTTATGTATATTTGCGTGCTGCAGGCCTTTGTAACAACTGGCCGTCTGCAGCCTGTTAATTGTATAATAAAGACTCCAATATTCTATATTTTAAAATGTGGCTTCTGGTATGATTCACCTTACAATAGTGGTTTTTGTCTTTAAAGTCTCTTTGTTTAAGCTTGATTCTGTGCTGCAGATCTTTGAGACAGAGGAGTCCACTGCAGACATGAATTCTCCAAATAAAGACTCCCTATTCTGGGGCTAGAAAAGTGGCTCAGTGGTAGAGTACTTGTCTTGCATGCAGGAGGCCCAGAGTTTGATTCCTCAGCACCTCATAAACAGAAAAAGTCCGAAGTGGTGCTGTGGCAGCCTTGAGCTGAAGAGCTGAGGGACAGTGCCCAGGCCCAGAGCTCAGCCCCATGACCAACAACAACAAAAAAAGACTCCCTATTTGACTTCTCAAAATGTGGCTTCTCAGGCTGGGAATGTGGCTTAGTGGTAGAGTGCTTGCCTAGCATTCATGAAGCCCTGGATCCAATACCTCAGTACTACATCAACAGAAAAAGCTGGAAGTAGCGCTGTGGCTCAAGTGGCAGAGTGCTAGCCTTGAGCAAAAGCAGCTCAGGGACAGCGCCCAGGCCCTGAGTTCAAGCCCCAGGACTGGCAAAAAAAAAAAAAAAAAGCTGGGAAGGTGGCTCAGTGGTAGAGCGCTTGCCTCACATGCGTGAGGCCCTGGGTTTGATTCCTCAGCACACATAAGCAGAGAAAAGCCGGAAGTGGCGCTGTGGCTCAGGTGGTAGAGCGCTAGCCTTGAGCTGAAGAGCTGAGGGACAGCGCCCAGGCCCAGAGTTCAGGCCACGACCGGCAAAAAGAAAAAAAAAAAGGCTTCTCTGTTCTCACGCCCGTTCGGGTGCGGCACCACGATGGGGACAGGCCTCTATAAAGGACCAAGGCGTTACACTGGATGTCCAGTGGTGGCCATGGCTCTTCTTACACATCTTTCTGCAAGCCACTGGGAGCCCTTTATAAGGTCCCAGAGCAGAGGAGTAGCCTAGAGAAAAGAAAGCCTCTGAACAACTCAAGAGAGCACAACTTGTGCCTCTCTTCTTGGCAACACTCAACTGCAAAATGGCAAGTCAAGCTCAGAAAGATGCACAGCCTAAAGTAAAACGGTACAGCAACACAGGGCTCTACTCACTCCCTAAGAAGCATCTAAAGAAGGTGCCAGAAACCTTCCCCGGGGAGCCATTGCACAATCCACAAACAAAGAAGTAAGATAGCATCACAGAATGATAAATGTCACGCTCAGATCACAGCTGTGATGAGCAAGTGAAGGGCAAAGGCAAGCGCAGAAGCATTCCCTCGAACTCAGGTGCCTTTGAGTGTCTCTGGTGCCAGAAACTCCTATAGGCTAAACTTCAGCCAGCTGAGGCTCCCTGAGCAATGCTATGGCGGGCTAACTAGCCCCTTTCGGAACCATGCCTCTACTTTTGCCTTTTTGCTGTTTACTTGGGATAAGAGTCTTTCAAATGTGTCTATGTGGGCTGGCTTTGAACTGTGATTCTTAGATCTCAGCTTCCTGAGAAGCTAGGATGACAGACATGAACCACTGGTGCCTGATGGCTCAGAATGTATTTCCTGAGAACAATATTTCCCAATCCCATGATCATCTAGAACTTTCCCTGGCTCTGAATCTGGGTAGGATTCTAAATCTCTTGTAACCAATGTACACGAGAAGAAATGATTTGGCTTATC